ATAAAAATTTTATAATATATTTTATAATAAAAAAGTATATATTTTTTATTTTTTGGGTCTCCAGAACGAATTAATCAAATTCCCATAAAAACCTATGGTAAATCAATAATCAGTTAATGAACAATTCGGATAACGAACAAAGTCTTGGAATGGATTATGTTCGTTAACCAATCATTTACTGTATTTTAATTATCATTCTTTTATGTAACATACATTATATTTGCTGTATTATATTACATTATATTATACAGTATTTGCTGAATATGAAATTTGGCAGAAAGAATTTTTTTTTGTATAAAATAGTTATTATTTTATTGTATATGCTATATTTACTTAAATCTAAAACTCACCTTAATTTCTATATGCTCACTCACAGAATTTTTATTTTTTTGAAAAATAGCTTGAGACAAATTTATGTCAGAATGACTAATTCTGTTGACATAAACTGTTTAGTATTTATTGTACAGTAAAGTAAGTTATCATTGTCTTCTGTAGTATCAAAACTAGAAACTTGTTCCTTTTCTGTATTAGACTTTTCCAAATCAACACCAATTTGATTCTTACATTTTCCCATATGCAGTTACATTGGTGTACAAAACTTAAGGACGAATGCTATTTTCAACAATTACAGTTAGAAATTGAACCACAGCAGCCTGTTGAAATATGCTTGAAATCATGATGTACTCTGTTGTGTAAAACTTATGCAAAGGTTTGAGTTCTGCATGTGTCAGTCACATGACAGCACAAATAAGAGATTTCAGGCAATCTGCATGTGCAGTCAGTTTCCGTTGGATGTGAAATTTGAACAGGAAGGAGTGAAGTTACAATAATAAAATTCTGGACATGTTTTCCAGGCATCATTTAGATGATTTTACTCATGGAAGAATAATCAGAAAGCTGGAAGAAGGGCAGAACGTAACAAATGTTGTGCTTGAATTTACTTTGTGCACAGTACTGTTTCTAGACTATGGGCAGCATTTCAAACTAGCGGAATGTGCAGCAGGCGCAATGGGGGAGGTCGTCCTAGCAGTATGACACCCCAAGATCAATATATTGTTTTTTCAGTGAAAAGGAACAGATGCAACACAGCTGGTGAACTGGCAAGTCATTTACAGGCAGCTACAGGAACTAACATATCCCATAAAACTGTTGCAAGACATTTGTGAAAGAAAGGACTATACACCCAAAGACCTGTTGTGTGTGTTCCACTCTCAAGACTTGTACAAAGTTGCATTGCACTTCACGGTAGCCATATCCCTTACTGACATGATGCTCAGGATTGTTTGTAGTAAGTATTGTGCATTTTTTGTACAACCATAACTTTGGACAATATGAACCTTTTACAAAAACACCCTCTTTTGACATTTTGTGTACTTCCTTTGAACATAATTATTATATTTAAATCATGTTGAACATGCTGTCAATACTATTGTTTTCTTCTTGGTCTACAACCACATGTAGTTTCTCATATATGTGCCCATTTCTTCTTTGTCCTTAAGTTTTGTCCACCAGTGTATCTTCAGTGCCATTTAAAACATTAGAAGTGCAATGTTTCTTGAAGGAGTATTGCACAACTTTGTCTGGATATTCGTTTAAGTACTTGTGACATTACTGTAATAGACTAATGAGATTGAGTTAAGTTAACCTCTTAAATATTTGCATTTACAAATATTGGTCTAATAAAATCATTAAAATGATGCAATGGAATTAGTTGTTTATAGTGATAGAGAAATAAGATACATGGCACTGTAGTTCACTAATTATGATGTATTAGCAATCTCTAATGCTTGATTATTTAGAAAACATTTGGTAACAAATTAATTTCATCTCATCAATAATCTCATGAGCATACATTTACTATGCAATATATATAATTTATAATATATTTCTATACTTAATGTGTTCATTTCTGATAGTCTATATGTGACTTGAATATGAACCTGAAATGATAAATTTAATAAACCATGCATTCATTTTGTGACCTTTTAAAATTTATTTGTCAAAAAAATTAAATAATTTAATAACATTTAAAAATTTGATAAGATATCAGCACAGTTTCATAAGTACTAAAACTGATAATTGTTATGCAACTTGAACCCCAACTATATAGTGTATTCATTCAGACACAAGGCAAACTCATCATTAATTTTTATTTAGTTGATACGTGTACTTAATGTTAGTACACGTTTTGGGTTATTCATGCCCCTCCTCAGTCAACTAAAACACAAATACATAATGGTTACAAATTACAATATATAAATAAAAGGTTAATGTTCTTAGCTAATTTTCTTTATTTTACACAGAATTATTGCTTATTTACATTTATAATATTCCAAGCCAATTTTTGTTTATTTTTATACTGGATTTTTTATTTATGCATTTCTCACCTCTAATGATCTCTATACTTTCCTTAAACTTCCTACTATATGTTTCTTTTTCTTTACGAAGGATTCCTACATTGTCTTTGTCTATGTTACAATTGTTCAAAGTACAGTGGTTGTGAAAGGCTGAATTTATTCTGTGGTATTTTAGATCAGCTATGTGTTCATTTAGTCTGACCTTTAACTTCCTTTTGGTTTCTCCTATGTAGTATTTATTGTCTAGTATTTATGTTATTGTAGTAAGGAATTTTGCATACTACATTCCTAATTTCAGTTGATGCTTGTTGTTTTTTCTAGGGGTTGAGACATTTTAATTTAGCAGACATTTTTTGGTACGATGGTGCAAGCTTAAAGTTTATTTGTTTGATTTCTTTGTTGATTTCTTCATATAAACCTTTGTATGGGAAAACAGTATACTTTACATTATTCTTTTGTTTATTTTATTATTATTTTGTTCTTTTATTATTATGTGTTATTTTTGGATTACTTAATTTAAGTTCCCATTTATTCAGCAAGAAAAGGTGTTGTAGTAAGTGTTTTTTGATATTAAAATATGCAGTCTAGAACGATGTGTTATTCAGTAGCTGTTGTGGATAACCTGCTAAGAGAAATTTCTTTTTTAATTCAGCCAGATCTTTAGTTATATATGTCTCTTGACTTGTTCTATTTTTTATCTTAAAATATTCCACTTTAAACGTACAGGCATACCTCGACTTACGTCGTTTCGAGTTACGTCGTTCCCGATTATACGTCGTTTGTCAAAAAAGTATACGAAAAAATAAAAATCAAGTTTAAGTCATTTTATTCAACTTTACGTCTGTCCGCCACAAATATTGAAGTCGTAATATCACTAGAAAAGCGTTTAAAGCACAAAAAATCTTATTAAAATATACACATTTACAAGTATGTACTGTATTTACAGTACAGTACACGCATTCGTAAATTTATTTGTTTGTAAGCTTAAAATAGATTCTTATTAACCATACATTATTAAAAATGCATTAATAAATAAAATACAGAACTGGGAATAGTAATTTATAGTTTAGCCTAGTGACAAGTAGATTCGGAGACAAGTAAATTCGACTTACGTCGTTTTTCGACTTAAGTCGTTTTCCTGGAACCAATTACCGACGTAAGGCGAGGTATACCTGTATTATATTTGACATGTAATGGCATGTTAGATTGATATTTTATTGTTATTCTGCCTGAACCTGGCTTCTTGAATGTTCTAAATTCCAAACTTTGTTTTAATCTTTTTATTGTTACATTCAAGTAGTTAATTTCCTGGCTGGTTAAATCTTCCACTTCTATTTGAAATTTTATCGCTTTGTGTATGTTATTAATTTGTTTGCTGATCTCTTCTATCTTGATTTCCATTTCATTATATATTATTAGAATATATTATATATTATTAGAATATCGTCAATGTATTGTTTGTTTCATATCGCTGGTTATGTTCTTTTTGCTCATTTGTAATCTCTAA